TAATTATTAATCCAATAAATTATAATGTTAGATTGAGAAAATTTACGACGAAAATTATATATATATATATATATATATATATATATATATATATATATATATATATATATATATATATATATATATATACAGTTACGATATATATATATATATATATATATATATATATATATATAATAATATATATATATATATATATATATATATATATATATATATATATATATATATATATATATATATATATATTTGTACTAAAGAGGTTCTTTAGGTTGTTATTCAAATAAATATTTTTTATATTTAAAAATTCTCTTTGATATATTAAATTATAAATATTAATTTTATAAGGAGAAAACTCTAAATTTCATCCCTAATTTATTTATCTTGTTGCTACCACGATCACACTATTTCATGGAAGCTCAAGAGCACAACCACATTATACGTAAACATATATGTTCACCCGTAACAAGATAGAGACAAATGATTTTTCCTCCCTAATAAGGAAATAATTAGAAATATATTTTTTCTTCTCAAACCCATACTTTCTAGTAGTCACTAGCGGATTGGATTAACAACCCTTCAAAAATTTCTCACCATATAAATCACATAATATTACTTTTTTTAACACAAATATCTCAATCTAGATAAACTAGCAAAAATAACAAATATTAATCAAATATGCTACATGAACATGGTTAACATTGCTTTCCTAGCATGACTTATTAGTGTCAAAAATTTCAAAGGCTTTTGGTTTTTTTCATCGAATATTGCAACGGAATTTTTTTCCGTTTATAATTTTGATTGGATTTTGCTCCTTCATTTTGCTCTTCAAGTAATCACAAGCATTATGAAAAATCATAAATTTCTTTTATGCAAGAATGCAAAGTGTATTCCTAAATGACTCGTGAGAGACAATGACTTATTAGTGTCAAAAATTGCAACAGAATTATTTCCGTTGAAAATTGCAACGGAATAATTTTCCGTTGAAAATTCCAACGGAATTTTGGACTTTTTCCGTCGAAAATTGAAACGGAACAATTTTTCGTTGAAAATTCCAACGGAATTTTGGACTTTTTCCGTCGAAAATTTCAACGGAATTATTTTCCGTTGAAAATTTCAATGGACTTTTTTTCCGTTTATAATTTTGATTGGATTTTGCTCCTTCATTTTGCTCTTCAAGTAATCACAAACATTATGAAAAACCATGAATTTCTTTTATGCAAGGATGCAAAGTGTATTTCTAAATGACTCGTGAGAGACAATGACTTATTAGTGTCAAAAATTGCAACAGAATTATTTCCGTTGAAAATTGCAACGAAATAATTTTCCGTGGAAAATTCCAACGGAATTTTGTACTTTTTCCGTCGAAAATTGAAACAGAATAATTTTCCGTGGAAAATTCCAACGGAATTTTGGACTTTTTCCGTTGAAAATTTCAACGGATTTTTTTTCCGTTTATAATTTTGACTGAATTTTACTCCTTTCATTTTGCTCTTCAAGTAATCACAAGCATTTTGAAAAACCATAAATTTCTTTTATGCAATAATGCTATCATTTATAATTGTTTATGGTATTGTGCATACATATTGAAACATTCACATGAGAATTCAAGTAGTCATGACTATCCACAACTACAAGTGTTGAAGTAGTGGGTGAAGTTATGAGTATACAAAAATGATGCTAAGATGTACTCATATGATAATGGATATGAAAATAAGTAAATATGTTGTTAACAAATCTCTTTAATCTTTATTAAAATAAGCTTCAAACAAAAGATAAGGTCCTAGGCCTTGACAGAATTAATCGTATAAATGGCACACACGCCAAAGCTCGATGAGGGACAAAACCTCCGAAGCCCATACCTGTTGGAAGCCATCAATAGTAAACTTAAACAATATAAAAAATGCAATCAATGAAAACAAACACAACATGAGTGATATGCAATTATCAACATATATGATATTGATCTGAGTATAATAAATATTACAGAGATTTGTTAGCAACATGTTTACGTATTTTCACATCCATTATCATGTGAGTACATATGAGCATCATTTTAGTATACTTATAACTTCACCCACTTCTTCAACACTTCCATATGTGGATAGTCACTACTTGCATTCTCATGTAAATGTTTCAATATATATATGCACAACACCATAAACAATTATAAATGACAGCATACTTGCATAAAAGAAATTTAGGGTTTTTGATAATGGTTGTGATGACTTGAAAATTATCAACGGAAAAAAACTCCGTTGAAATTTTCGACGGAAAAAGACCAAAATTCCGTTGAAAGTTTCAACGGACCAAAATTCCGTTGCATTTTTTGACGGAAAACTATACCGTTGCAATTTTCAACGGAAAATTTCCGTTGAAATTTTAAAAGGAATATTATTTCGTTGTAATTATCAACAGAATTTGTTGTCCGTCGATATTTTTCGATTAAAAATAATTATGTGATAAATTTTTGACAGAATATTTCAACGGAATTTAATTTCCGTTAAAATTTTTGACGAAATTTATTTTCCGTTGAAAATTTCCGTCTCAAAATTCAACGAATTTTTTTTCCGTCTCTACTTCCAATGGAATTGAATTTTCGTCAAAAATTCCGTTACTATTTTTGACGGAATATTTTCCGTTAATAAATTACGTCGATAATAGAGCTTTTTCTAGTAGTGTAATAGCTTGGTTTTCAAAAAATTTAAAAAAACTTATAATTAAAAACTTTCGATTTTGAAATAAATTAATCCAAATATGTTATAATTGATGTTGATATATATTTTGAAATTATAGGCTTGATCAGAAAAAAAAGTTATACTTATCACCAATTAAGTTTATCACTTCTTACTATTAAATCTTAATCATTGATTTCTGCAAATCTGATTGTTGTAATATATTGAAAATTAATAATTAATTAATAAATCTCATCTAATAAATTATAACCGTTAGATTGACAGAAATTAACGATTAAGATTTGGTGGTAAAAAGTGATAAACTTAATTGGTATTAAATATAACCTCCCAAAAAAATAAAGGAAATTTACAAAGAAGTAAAAAATGATGTACCAAACAATGATAGCTCAATTAGTATATGTAGGGTTGGCAAAAACGAGTCAATCCATCGGGGTTGGTTCGTAACCCGCCAAAAATGAGCCGGGTTGGGTTGGCAAAATTGAGCTGCCAACCCGACCCGAGCCATCTCATGAAAAAATGAGCCAACCCGTGGGTCAAACGAGCTAGCTCGCAGGTTGAGTTTTTTTTTTATTATAAAGAAATACAAAATATAATATACAAAAATGGACAAAACCCACACATGCTGTCATCATTTTTCTTCCTTCTCTAAACCTAAGTCCCTAATCTTCTCACATACCTGACGTTATTATATTGTTAGGCTATGTTGACTATGTTTGGTTCAAATATCTTACCCACTTAGTAGCAAAGTGGTTCTGACTGTTTCTTGATGTTTATGCAAATTTGTTGTGAAGAAAATTCGAAACTAAAATATTTTGCTTTTATTTCTCATTTTGTAACCCTTTGTTTAAGTTAATGGAAGCCACATAGCTGGTGCATTAATACTACAGAGTCATTTAAATAGGCTAAAAACGAGCCAACCCGCGAGCTATTTTTTTAAGGGCTTTTTGACCCTTTTATCCCTTATTAAATAAAAAATAATCATTTTGTTCCTGTTCCAAAACTATACCTCACTTTGCCCCTATTTAATCGATTACATAGAAAATTTAATCGACTAAGTGTCAAAAAATATATTAATCGATTAAAAAAATTTTTTAATCGATTAAGTATCAATTTCTTCAAGAAAATTGCAGAGGAAGATCGCCCACCACCGACAACTTCATATTTGGAAAATCAGGCACAGCTCAGTTCAATCATTGATCATATAATTAACATAGAGAACATATACTGAAGGAGGAAAAGTGGGAACCCGATATAATTAAATTCTCTCCCTTTCAGCAACAACAAGAAGGCGATTCAGGATAAAAGTGTCCCAAAAGTTACAAGCTCCTAGCTTTACCTTTCTTCATCGTTTTTCATCTCTATTTTTTCAAGATTTTATTAGGGAGAGCTGTTACTGTAGGAGGGATTGGAAGAAAAAGGTTCTGTTTTGTGATATATGTGCATAAGAACGTAAGATAGAAAGATGACATAGTGCAATGACTCTGATGAGGAAGGGCATTGAATCATTCACGCCCACTATTACTCCTAGAGCTAATAACACCGATGAAATTCATATGAAGTTGTCGGTGGTAGGCATTCTTCCTCTGCAATTTTCTTGAAGAAATCGATACTTAATCGATTAAAAAGGTTTTTAATCGATTAATATATTTTTTTTGACACTTAGTCGATTAAATTTTCTATGTAATCGATTAAATAGGGGCAAAGTGAGGTATAGTTTTGGAACAGGGACAAAATGGTTATTTTTTATTTAATAAGGGATAAAAAGGTCAAAAAGCCTTTTTTCAAGTCAACCCACAAGCCATATTTTTGAGCCAACCTGCGAGCTAACCCTAACCCGACTCGGGTCGGGTTGAGTTTTCTAACTCGTTTTTTTTTTCGAACCATCCCTAACCCGACTCATTTTTTTCGGATTGAATGCGGGTTGGGTTGGGTCGGGCCGGGTTGGGTCGTTTTGCCAACCCGGAATGCATGAAAGCTGAGCACATGGAGTGAAACCTCTTCAATACTATCTTTGAGAAGAATTTAAAATCTTAATCCAAAACTCGTCTCGAATAAAATTGTCTCGATGTTTTATCCAAAACTAAAATAAAGTTGATGCACTCAATCTTGTGGTTTTAAGTAATGGACAATCTCCCAATATTGAAGGGGTTTTCAGGGCCCAACAATGCACATTATGGACTACTGTAAGGGCCGACATTCTGAAAAAAAAAAAAAAAATCTTAGAAGTAAAACAAAATTTACCGCAAAGACAAAGATTGTGTGTTCAGAGTGACATTCAAATTCACTTCACTCATTTTACTTCTCTTGTTTTCTTGTCACTTGGGAACAGTGAGTCATTCCTTCTGATATGCTCAAATGGTAACCCTTCCGAAGAAATCAAAGAAGACCAAAAGGAAGGCCAAGAAGTTCAAGAAACGCAAACAGGTGAGTCTGGTCCCTGTTGTGCCCAGAACTAGTGAGAACGATTGGTGGGACTCTTTCTGGCACAAGAATTCTACTGCCCCAGGTATCTTCTCCTTTCTCTTCACTCCATTCGCCTTCAAATTTTTGAACTTTTTATTATTTATTCATGATTTTTGTTCGGGAAGGAAACCCTTTCATGCAAGGGTTTCTCAATTGTTATCACTTTTTTGAATTCTCAACAACCCTCATAATGTTTATATCTAGTTGGTGAAGAAAAAGAGGAACCACTGTGACGGAGAGTTTTATGATATGTACCAACAACCCTGAAGGCGAGGGCCTTGGAGATCCAATCTCATTAGTTTATTTTATCTTTATTAGTTTTGTTATCTCATGAGTTTGTGTAATTTAAAATAGTTATCATTAGCTAGAAGGTTATACTTATCACTAATTAAATTTATCATTTCTTATCACCAAATCTTAACTTATTTTCGTTAATATGACGGTTATAATTTATTGGATATTAATAATTAATTAATAAGTGTTATCCAATAATCGGCGAAAATCAACAGTTAAGATTTGATGGTAAGAAGTGATAAACTTAATTGGTGATAAGTATAACTTTCTTGATCATTTGTTATCTTATTCCTAATTATGTTATTGTATAGTTTATCTTATCTGGTGTAAGCTGCTACAAAGTAGATAGCCACTGATCACAAAATTGATTAATTGTATCTCTCGTAATTACTTCCTCCTAATTATTCTCTAATTATCGATTCTCATGTAATCAACCTCTCTACAATCTTCTCATCTCCTGTTTTCCCTTCCCCCCCCCCCCCCCCCCCCCCAAATATTATAAAATTATTGTTACAATGGTGCTTTCATTGATCTAGCCTTCCTCCATGGCTGCACGGACTAGCCTCTGTGTTCTTTCATAGCAAACCCTGGATTTCCAGCATCTTCTTCAATCCCGTGTAGCTATTAATCAAATCTTCAATAGCCTGTTAAGCCTTCTGGAAGAGGCCACTGGGCTGGCTGACCATGATTGAGGTAGCTCTTCATTGGAATAGGAGGGACCATGTTGAATTTGTACAACTCGCTCTCCGAATCATTGCTTACTCACCTACTCCAACAAGTGGATGCAATCGACGCTGTTCCTCTTTATCGACTATTGTATGCGCTCCCATTGTCGCGCAATTAATGATGCTGCTGAATCGAAACACATTAAGCCTTCTACATGTGAGGACTCCCCAAAACACGTGTCATTCAATGCCGACAGGTTTTCCAATAGGCAATAAATCCATTCAATTGCCAGCCAATAAGCGTGCTTTTCCCCGATTGCTATGGCATTCCATCATTTGTCATCCTACTAGGTTTGAGACTGTGATTGACATGACATTTATTGTCATCTTTGATCCCGGAATTGCACAACTCAACCTCGCAAACAAGGTTGGTTTGAAGAGCGGTGGAATGTAGCAAAACCTTCAAGGCCAAGCACTTGGATATGTCAATTTTATTGTGTAGTTTATCTTCTCAGTTGTTATAAACTTATAATTCAAATTAGTTATCCTGTCAGTAGTATTAGTTATCCTATTTCTAAGTATGTTATTTGATAGTTTATTTTATCTCTTAGAAGGTGTAAGCGACGGTAAGATAGATAGCCCACCCGATCACAAAATTAATTAAGCAATTACAACTTTCTTTATTACTTTCTCCTAATTATTCTCTTATTCTTAATTCTCTCTCCCAATCGACCTCTCTGCAATCTTCTCCTTCTATCCGGTTTTCCCTTCTTTACCCAAAATATTATAAAATTATTGCTACATGATATTGGTTCTTTTTTGCTTTTTTGGGTTGTGATTTGATGTTTGTTATGGATATGATTGAATGCAAACCTGCAGGATACTCTGTACCTGCTGATGAAGCTGAAGGGTTTAAGTATTTCTTTAGGGTGTCAAAGACTACTTTTGAATACATATGTTCTCTTGTAAGGGAGGATCTCATATCAAGGCCTCCATCAGGGCTCATCAACATAGAGGGGAGGCTTCTTAGTGTTGAGAAGCAGGTTGCCATTGCCCTTAGAAGGTTGGCATCTGGTGAATCTCAAGTCTCAGTTGGAGCTGCCTTTGGGGTTGGACAGTCAACAGTTTCTCAGGTGACTTGGAGATTCATCGAAGCACTGGAGGAACGCGCTAAACATCATCTCAATTGGCCTGATTTCAATAGAATGCAAGAAATCAAGTTTGGTTTTGAAGCATCCTATAGGTTGCCTAATTGCTGCGGAGCTATTGATGCAACACACATCATGATGACCCTTCCAGCTGTCCAAACCTCGGATGATTGGTGTGATCATGAAAAAAATTACAGCATGTTGTTACAGGGAATTGTCGATCATGAAACGAGATTTATTGATATTATGACAGGTTTCCCTGGGGGCATGACATTTTCCAGATTGTTGAAGTGTTCAGCATTTTACAAACTCTCAGAGAATGGGGAGCGTTTAAATGGAAATGCAAGAACTTTAGGTGGAGATGTGATAAGAGAATATGTAGTTGGTGGGTACAGCTATCCTCTTCTTCCATGGCTAATGACTCCTTATGAAACTAATGGCATATCAGATTCACAATCCACTTTTAATTACAAACATGAGGCAGCAAGGCTACTTGCAGTAAGGGCATTCTCACTGTTAAAGGGAAGTTGGAGAATCCTGAGTAAGGTTATGTGGAGACCTGATAAGAGGAAATTGCCCAGCATTATCTTGACATGTTGTTTGCTTCATAATATAATCATTGACTGCGGTGACTCCTTACATCCAGATGTTGCCTTGTCATGTCATCATGATTCAGGATATAAAGAACAGTATTGCAAGCAAGTTGATCCTTCAGGAAGGACCATGCGTGAAAATTTGGCTAAGCATTTAAATCATGGAATGCAATAAGATGTTCATCGGATCTAGAATATGAGCATTCTGTTGTTGAACTTAGACATGAGTTTTTTTTTTTTTTTCCTTCCCTTTTTTTGTCAGGGGTTGACTCCTTTTGTTGTTGTTGAACGTTAACTTTTTATTGTTATTGGAAGATATGTTAATGCAAGAGTCGCATTGTATTTTATGCTGAACAAACGATTCTTAAAGAGACAAGCAAAAGAAAGAAAAGAGCAAGATAATTGCATGGCACCACGATGGTAAACAAAGTAATAGCCAAAACATGAACGGCACATCTAACCAAGAAAGAAATTAGACGGGGGGTTATTCAGACAATGAAATAGCGAAAATTACATCCTAGCCTCTTCTTCTGAGTGAACATTACAGAACATGTACAGCAGGGTCTTGAACCATATCTAGACTATAAAGGAAAATTTACAAACAATAAAGCTAATGTCTCAATTGTCTCATGTACTTTTAAACTATGCTAAATTATTGTCTATTCAATTTTCCTTGGTCGGAGGCTGTATGCATGCACAAAAGGGTGCTTTCTTCTTCCTCTTCTGGTACTTCTTTCTCGTCCCATCATAGAGGTAATCTCGCAATAGAACTTTTGGATTTCGATCATCAATCAATGTTTTCCCTTTGCCTTTTTTTTCATCATTCAGTTTTAGAAGTAAAAATTGCAGTCTTTGCACCTCCAACTGCAGCCGTCCTATTTTTTCTGACCCTCTCCGAGCCTGTTCTGAAACTCTCCTTCTGCTAACGCCTCCACTCTCATCTGACTCAGTTGTAGACTTCCCAGCAAAGGACGAGGTACCCTCTTCTACATTCTTCATCAACTTGCGGTTGGCATCAAACAACTTTGTGATGGCCTCCTGAGCAGCTTCAAGCTGCCCTTTCACTGTGTCATACTCAATACCTTTTCCATGTGTGCTCAACTCAGTAATTTCCACCTTGTTCATCAAATCCTGTACGGTAATTTCAAGGTTTGTCAACTTTTGAGCATCAGAATCAAGTCTCTCTAAAATCTTCCTCTTGTTGCCTTCTTGATGAGGCTGTGGCTTAGTCAATCTTCTTGAGATCTCTAACTTGTCCACACTCAACTCCTTTTCAATCAAGGACTCTACTGAAGGATATTTGTTTTTGGATTCCTTGGTTGCTCTCCTTTGATGGTATCCAGCAGGTGATGTGGCTGTCTTGTGTGCCTTTCCAACTGTCAGGCCAATAATGCCATCCTCATCAGCAGTTTCCCACAATTCGAGCATCTGATCATCAAACTTATGAGTTCCTCTCCTACTTATCCCATATGATGAACATTCAGTCGTTTGATCAAGCATGATGTCTTTTGGCAGAACTTCAATTTCTTCTACAAGGATATCTGACACTGATTTCCTTGTCTTCCGTTCATCAGCAGGTCCACCTTGATGCTCCTTTGTTTCATCCATTTGAGTAACATGCTTGCTTGCTTGGTTATTTCCTTGGCGCCGGCAGATTCCAGGTTTTAACACTTGAATCTCTCTCATTTCATCCTTAGGTTGGAAACTTTCATTCATCTTTTTAACAGCCATTTCAATTGCATTGATCCTTTGCTGCATGTCTTGGAAGTCTGTTTGTGCATCTGTTGCCATAGCATTCTGACCTTCACGTGTTTGTGGACCACCTTCAGTGTACGTGTGATTCGCCAAATTTTTAACCTGGGAACAAAGATTTAGACAAACTATATTATATCTATATAAACAATGCAATAGTAGCTGGTTCCCAGTTGAAGAAGAGGGAATTAAATTTATCACAAATGACCTCCCATTAACATACAAGGAAGCAAGGATCTTAGTTTCTACAAAGTTCTCAAGCATTGAAATATTGAATATGAATCTCTTGCCTGTTTGAAATCTATTCTGGAAAACAGTTTTTTGATTTTCGGAAGAAAAAAACTCGTTTGATAAGACTTGTTTTGTAAAAATAAAAATAAAAATTGTAACTGTTTTTTGTTTTTAGAATCAAATTTAGAGAGCATGTCCAAATTGTTTTTGTTTTGTGTTTTGACTTTTAACTTTCAAAACAAAAAAAAAACCCTATAGAAAACACTTGTTTCATTAATTATTCTACAAAACAGTTTTAAGAACAAAAAAATCGAAACACAGTCAAACGGACTCTTACCGTAAAATACATAATTAGTTTACTACAGCCAAATAGATTTGGAACTACGTATGTTAATACCTTTGATTCTTTGCGGTCATGAGGATCTGCATGTAAAAGCGTCTGCATCTCCAAGGATGTTATACGGTCACTCAAACCACTGATAGCTGGAACATAAGCAGCCAACTGACCACGTAGTCTCCCGTTTTCACATTCCAACTTGTTAACTCTTTCTTTCAGCTTTTCACTTTCCATACCTTTGGAATTGCTTCTGAGTTCAAACATCTCACATTCTTCAGCTAGCTCACGGACCTTGTCTTCAAATAAGGTCTCATTGACATCAGAAATTTGCAGTTCCGTGTAGAATGTGGTAGCCTGAGTTTCCCATTGTTCAGCCTCATTTGCTCCCTTGAGTAGTTCATAACTTAACTTCTCTTCCCTCAGTTTAGTTTCCCCAAGTTCTTGATTCAAGTCCCTTATTTCAGCTTCTAACTTCTGATTCACTTCACAAACACATCCAAGCTCTTCATTTTGACGGTCCTTGTCTGTGGATAATTTCAAAATTTGACTAGCTTGGTCTTCAAGTATCACCTTGGCCTCGTCGTACCTGCTCTTCAGATCTTCCACCAATCTATGCAACTCTGTTTTCTCATCACGTAAAGCACTGAACATCTCTGCTGCTTCCAAAATCTCGTTTTCCTTTTGAGTCAACAACTCCTTTCCATTACTAATATGACAATTTAATTGATCATTGACAGTCTCAACTAATTTTAGTTCAATGTTCGAACTTACAAAAGACTCTTTAAGACATGAATTTTCCATTTGTGCATCTTCCAGTTTGCCCATCATTATTTTTAACCTCTCCTCAAGGTTGGTATTTACTAAACAAAGTTTATCAAGATCTTTGCTAAGCTCTTTACGTACCAGGAGTTGTTCAAAGACAATGTTCTGGTAGATGAGAGAAATATTAGATTGAGCTATTGTCTCATCAATCATGATGCAGATTTCTTCTTCCAAGTTACTTTTCTCTTCACCCAGGTCTAGAAATCTTCTCATCAAGGAACTTTTCTCTTCAAATGTTTTATAGCTTTCTTCCTTTATGTTTCTGTGAGCCTCTTCCAAGTCTGACAGCTGTTTGCATAGATTCTCTATTTCAGATGTCATTACTTTCATTTTCTCTTCTCCCCTAATTTTTGTCACCTTCAATTCCTGATTCTTCTCCAGTATATTCTGGACCTCTGCTTGCAATGCCAAGAACTGCTTAGACTGGATCTTCAACTCCTCATCAAGGGCATCTCTTTCAGTCAAAAGATTTTCAGTCTTTAATTTCAACTGCCCAAGGAATGTAACAAGAACTGAATTCTCAATAGCCACTTGCTGGCTTTCATTGAAAATTGTGACACAAGAATTCTGTGTCTCCTGAAGTTTGTCATGTATATGGTTCAGAAGCTCCTGGTCTTCTTCAATCATATCTTCACACCAATGCTTGCTGTTAATGTCAAGAGTCTTTAACACCTGAAGCAGCCCAATCCTTAGAGTTTTAATTTTCTCAGACAACAAATTCGCATTAACCTGCTTTTGAACATTGTCATTCTCCAATTTAGAAATCAATCTATCAGACATTTTGGATGCCTCCAAGAGTCTCTGACACTCAACTAGAAGGGAGAAGTATTTTTGCTCCAAATCCTGTATACATTTCTGCAAGATGAAAATTTCCATTTGAGCATGTACAGCTCTGTCTAGTTCTTCCTCATATTCCTTTTTCTGGCAATTTGCATCTTCTTGTAGAATATGAATTTGTAATTCCTTCTCAGCCAAGTAAGCTTCATTCAATTGCACAACTCTGGAATGCTCTTCCCTCTCAGCATATAAGGAAACCAGTAGCTCTTCCACCTTTCGAAGTGCAGACTCCCTTTCTGCTTTTAGATCCAAATGCTGTAGTTCCAATTCACTACATTGTTTCTCAAGATCTTTCAGTGTTCCACGAGTAATGTTCAATTGTGAAACTAAGGTCTCTTTCTCAGAGTTGAGACTGAACTTCTCATTGTCAAGCAACAGGCAACAGTCTTCTAAAGTATTTGACTTTACCCTCAATCCTTCAAGCTCAGCATTCATATCAAATAGTAAATTTTCTAAAAGGTTGTTTTTTTCTGAGAGCTTCTCCAGCTTTTCAGCTGTAGTTTGTAACTGAGAAAACAAGGTGCCCTTCTCAGCAGCAAGAGTGGATTTCTCCCCAAGCAAAGATTCACAAGTTTCTTCCAATACCTTTACCTTTCCTCTGACGCTCTCCAGCTCAGCATTCAAATCAGAAAGGGAATTCTCCAGAACAGCATTTTTCTCCAAAAGCTTCTCCATGGTGTCTAGTTTTTCCTTTAGAGCTGCTTTCTCACCCTTGTCAGCCTCACATGTTTCTTTCAGCTTTGAGTTCTCTTCTTGCAAATTCTTCACAGATGAGACAATGAGCTGTGGGTCTAAACCAGTTGATCTGACCTCCTCCATCATGGATTCATGTCTTTTATTCACATCATTGAGCTCCTCTTTAAGACAGTAAATTTCTTGCTGCAGGGCATTTCTTTCATCTGCTCGCAGTCCAACCTCCAGTTCAAGTTTCTTTATTGTCTCCCTCAGATTTAGAATCTCATCCTGCAAATTTTTAATAGACAAAGATGAAGCCAATTTGAGATCAGTTAGAATTTTGTTTTCCTCCTTGGCCTTGTGTACTTCATCCTGTAAAGCCTGCTTACAGGATTGCATATTCTCCAGAATTCCAGCTTTATTATGAAGCTGAGCAGCAAGAGATCTAAGTTCTTCCTGAGATTGAGAATGCAAATTCTGAAGAGTTTGGAAAGCAGTTTCAGCCTCAATGAATCGCAACCGTTCCTCTTGTATGCATGTCCAAAGTCTACCCAATTCCTTCTGCTTCTCGCTTAGTTCTTCACTTTGAGACCCCATCTTCTGTGCCAAAGATTGCAATTCGGATTGCAGAGTCTGATTTGATGTTTCTAAGAGAAGACACTTCTGTTCAGAACCTTGTAACTTTTCAACCCCATCATTTAACTTGCAATTTAGCCCATGCACCTCCTCTTCGGCACATGAGAGTTTATGCTCCAAACTGGAAATTATCTCCAAGCATTGCTGATAACGAAGAGCTGCTTCCTCCTTCTCTTCAGTAAGTTTAGCAATTTCTAACTTCATGGCTTCAATTTTATTTTTAGCTATATTAGCTTGCTCATTAATTTCCCTTGCGTTCTCCTCACGTTGTACCAACCTCTCCTCCAGTTTTGACAATGTCTCTAAGGACTGGTTATATTGAACAAGGGAAGCTTCCTTTTGAACTTCAACTCTAGCAAGGTCCTGCTTTAGGGATTCAGCTTCAGTTTCAGCTTTAGTAGCTCGTTCATTAAGTTCTCCTACATCCTTTTGAACAGAAGAAATATTTTTCTCCAGATTATATGTTTTCTCCAAGCACTGCTGGTACTGAAGAAGACTTGCTTCTCTTTCAGCTTGTAATTTAGTAAGGGCTTCCTTCAAGGTTTGAACTTCAGCTTCAGCTTTGCTTGCTAGTTCATCAAGTCCTTGAGAATTCTCTCTTGCATGATACACTTCTGATTCCAGATTAGATAATCTCTCCAAACTCTTCTGATACTGAAGCAAGCCAGCTTCCTTTTCACTTTCTAATTTAGCAAGGGCTTTCTTTAAGGCCAAAATTTCTGTCTCAGTTTTGGTCATCCGTTCAGACTCAGATAAGACTTGAGCCCTATTATCATGGCTTCCATTGTTTAGCCCATCAATCTCCCCTTTGTCTTGAAAATTGAGCCCCCTTCTAGCACCCCCTTCTGCAAACTTCGCATGACTTACAGGTTCTCCTGACATGAAGAGATCATCAAGCTGTTTCAAACCCTTTCTGCTTATAGCAGAATCATGTTCATCAGAATAGCATCCATTTCTTTGGATAGCATGGAAATGAGTAGAAGCATCCTTTTGCAATTCATCTGGATCAAGAAATGTATGTGAATGGTGACTTGTCACTGGTGTATGTGGCTCAGTCTCCGTGGAAGAAACTGCAGGTAAATCATCTGCCATTCCCAGAGGGTTTTGTTGATTAGGAAATGCTTCAGCCATAGTGTTATGGGCCTGGCGTATCACTCCAGTTGCATGATCATATCTCTCAGCCAATGCCCGGTATGCACGGTAAAATTCTTCAACCAATTTCATAAGCTCTGGGCGTTTCTTATAATACATTTCTGCCCTCCTGGCAAATGAATCTGCATCTTCTTCAATAAGCTTGATCATTTGCTTCACCTTGGCATCCATATCTGTTCATGAGGAAAAACATTGTGATAAATTAATGTGTTTGAGGACAAAGGATTGATGTTAACAGAAAAATTTCAATTTTCAAGAAGAATTATTGCCACATCTCTTCTGAGTGATTAAGGAAATAGATTTCATAAGTTAAAAGGAAAGATGTAATACAGGAAGTAGGATATGGTTTATTATCATGTGCAGACTACAGTACAAATTGCATGTAACATGTCCTTGCAGGACAGGACAGAACTGATATTTTATAGTTATAGAAAGAAAATAATTTTAATGAAGATATGCGCCAAAAAATAAGATCCAGAAAGATATATGAAAATGCACACTTGTAGGTTTCATTAAACGCTTCTTTAACAACAAATATTTTAAAACTAAGTTTATAAGTCCTCATACCAATATCAGTAATTATGTTTGATAGCAAAGAAATAAGAAATCTAGATTATAAGAAAATGGAAAATGCTCAAGTGAATTTTGTTTCTGGTTTAACATGAGAAAACAAGAAATGGGTGCAATTTAGTATCCAACCATTAAGGTGTCAGGTGATGAATAATAACTATGCTAACATCTTAAACAGAATTGCAACCAAAGCCAGAAATACAGCAGGCAATAGGCATTATTATACCTGTCAGATTTTCTTGGAGCCATTTCGAGTTTTTGGGGCTTATGTGGCTATCCCACCACCATGAATACATTCTTTTAGAATCAGCATGGGACAGAGTCGCCATCACTTCAGCCAATAACACCAGCACCGTGTCTTCTGATCACGTGACCCAATTTCACAGTATATAGCAAGCCGAGTCTCTCTTGCTGCTTGCATATAGTCATTGGAACAAACAAAAAACGAAAGGAATGCAAATGGTTCAGTTTCAAGTGAATCATAGCCATGCCTTTTGTTTGTTCTCATCAAAGCAAAAGTGAATGAATGATCACAAACAGCTCCAATACCAAAAAATAATAAATAAATAAATTTACCTGAACAGTTGAACTCTCAAGTTCCAAGAGTGAATGAACAGAAATCTGATACAAAAAAATAGTACTGATCAGACACAAAATTCCAAAACAAAATCAGAATTTGGTCAGTAAACAAGAACATAAAATTAGTCTATGTCAGAAAATGCAAAAATAAAATAAAAAATGTTCTCAATTTTTGTATGATGATCCCTTATGAACATGAGATGGCAACCATAAAATTCAAACGGCATGAACAATCAAACCCCATTAAAATACTAAGACCATTACAAAGGAAGGGAATGGAATTCAAAACTCAAAAGTCCAGGGACAAGGGTGTAGAAGAAGATAAAAAATGAAGTAACAGTCATGGACAAGAGATCAGTGCTCAATAACTACAACATAATGCTCATAATTCAGGTAGCATGTTACTCACCAAAAAACAAAAAACAAAAAAACAAAAAAATCAGACTTGAGCCATTGGGTTCCAATTAACACTGGCGACTGATAAACAAGTTCAGCTGCTTTTCTTCTCCCTCTGCCTCCCTCTCTGTTATTCCATTTTCTGGGTCACCCCATGTTGGTTAGATCTCTCTGTGTTGTGTAGACAATGCAGTCTTGTGTGGTGTTTCTCTCTCCTGCACTGCTTTGCTTTTTATGTGTAGTATAGGTTGGTGGTACTGTCCCTCAGCATCTCAGAACTGTTAAAGCGGAAAGAAAACAAAAACAAAACAAATTTGTCAGAGAGAAAAGATAAAGAAAAACATAAAGGAAAAATAATAATTAATATCTAATTGAATTAATAAATAATTTTAAATCTGATATACACGCTCCTGACCTTAATTTGGAACATTGAAATTTGAGTAACCGATATAAAAGTGGGATAGCATTTGGATTCTCAAGTTTGTGTTTTTTTGTTTCTCGAATTTTCGTCAGACAAAATAATAATAATTATAAGATTAGCAAATACAAAAGTACTAAATGTGGTTGCGTGTATTTTACGAGGAGAGGTTTCGGTTTGCTTTAGTGTTACCATCTTTGGTATTGTTTGAAATAATTTTATTTTTATATAAAAAAAAAATTGAAACTCACTTTTGATTCTACTTATTTTTTTTATGGATGAGGTTATAGTTATAATTTTTTTTTTACAACCTCTTACAACCATATATCATAACTGTTGATTTCTACCGATCAATGGTTATGATTTTCGTAAATTAAACTCATTAATTAATTATTAATTCATAATAAATGACAATCGTTGATTGGCAGAAATCAACGGTTATGATATGGTTTTAATGTAAGAGGTTGTAAAAAAAAAGATTAAGAAAATGGATGATTTTTTTTAATTTAAAATTCAAATTTTTTGTGTCTGTATCTCTCTTAAAATAACAAACACCAAACCCTATTATATAAGATAAAATTGCCTTGTGTAAAGTAAAAAAAATATTTTTTGGACAAAAAAAATGGAAATGATTTTCTCTTACAATGGATGAGAAGAAGTGATTTCTATACATATATAAAAATGTATGTCAACTTACCAAAAAAAAAAAAAAAGATGTGTGTCAATATATATATTTTTTTTTAAATATAATGGCTCCACCTTTTATTTTAATAGGAGATAAGTATTCATTTCCCATAGAATATGAGAAAAGTTTTTTCCTAAAAAAAACATACTCGGTAACAAATTCGTCGCCGACTTTCCGGTCGGTTTATTCCATGTAATAATAACACAAGTTGCCGTTGCTGAATCATACGTAAACACTTGTACGTAATTTCTGTGTGCAAAAGTAACGGTTCTATACTTGTACCAAAAAAATAACGTAGTTACTCTTTTTTTCTGTTTTTTTTCATTAAAATATATTATTTATTTCAATCGATCAATTAGTCCGATATAAATCTATATAAAACACGATTCTCCTTATTTTTCCATTTCTATGATTAAAATTTAAAAAAATTCTTTATCACCTGAATAAATTTTTTAATATTACATTGTATTATTTACATGCCTCAAAGAGTCAAATCTATCATGCGATTTGGATTATTTCATGTAAAGTAATAAACCGCTATTTTAATGGTATTAATTATTGTACTTTGGATGTTTATTACTAAAATAGGATATTTTTATTTTAAATTTTGATTCACATGAAGTTCTGAAATCTAGCTCAGATTATATACTTATCGATTACTATTTTTATGGTCAACAGGAAAAAAAACAAAAATAAATGGTTCGTTGATATCTTCATTATATTATCAAGTTAATTAGTTTATTAAAACTTAACTTTCTTCCCATTACCAATATATATGTATAATCCATAATGTACACCAAATAACATATTACAATCAAGCATATATATTTAAAAGTGTTATTTTATTTTACTTATACTTTAAAAAAAAAAAAATAAGAGCCAAAATTTATGCTCCATATATATCATTTGCAATTTGCACAAGTTTTTTAGACACTACTTAAGCTAATACATAGCATGGAATAAAATAAAAGATTAATTATAGTTATAATAAATATTATATAGCATGATGATTATAAGTTAAATAGTTTAATTGAATTTTAAAAATTAAATAATTATAACCTTTTTTCCTTATATAGCACATATTTTTGTTAATAAATTGAATTTGAATTCAATAAAATTAAAATATATTCAAAATAAAATTAATGAATAAATAGCATGATATCAAGTAAAAATGAAATTAAAAGAAAAAGGTATATATAAATAGCAGGTGATATTAACAGAAGTTATGTATAGAAATTATGTTTTATATGTAATAGGCTATAAATACTTTGGTGATTGAAGGACGTATATGACAAGTGTCATTGTAGAAGGTAAGCCAAGGACGGTGACAGTCATGTGATTAAGCGTCCACGCGCCGCCCAAACAAATTCCTTTGTCACATTAGGAGAACCACACACGTGTTTTTCGCGGGAGCAAAAAAAATATTGGAGACACACCCTTTGTTATTTTATTATTTACCACCAAACATCATGTATATATATGCTGTTTGAAACGGGTATTTAACTATTTATCGCATGTTCTGTAGCGTGCGTGGGAACTACATAATGCTGCATTGCTGCGTATGCGACTTCATTGGCACGCGTAGATTATACAATAATCGTGCTCTCTTTTTTTATAGATTATAATCGTGCTCTCTTTTTTTATAGATTATGATCGTGCTCTTGTGACTTCATTATAACGTTTGAACTTCGCATTGGCCTGTCGGTCGTTGGGCTGTTCTATTTTGAGAAATATGCACATGGCATTAAAATCATGTTTTGATTATGGTTGGTTCCAATTAAATCCATCTTTCGTCATCACTATATTTGGTCCTATAACCTTAACAAGAACTGCACATATTACTATTGTTTGCTCCATCCTTAAAACCCAATGACAAACTACCGGTAAACTTGCTCGAGTGAAGTGGCTATCCTACAAAATATGCATGGTCATCACCTCGTGGGTTTAGTGTAGTTTTTTTTTTTTTTTCTTTTTTCCCTTTTAAATTGAGGGGTTTAGTTTAGATCCAGGACCAAAGGATTGGATCGTGGAGTTATATGACAGATAAATAAACATTGGCCTATCTTGGAAGTAGGTTGAAAATGATCGACCACTATCATCCTACTAAGATTAGTGGGTTAAACGGATTTTTCTTTACCAGAAAATTTACAAAAAAAATAAAAAAAAATAAAGACTATAAAAATAATAATCAAATTATATTATATTACCAACAAAATGCCCAAACTGAGAATCGGTAGAATTAAATTATATAATAAATCATAAATCACAATTACGTAATTATATAAATATAATCTATAAATTCCAAATTTGACAAGACAGAACAGTTTGGATTTTTTTAAGGATAAAAATTGAGTGAACTCAATAGCCAGCCCAACTTAAATCCACTTCAAGTGTGAGTTTAGTGAATGTAGTCAAAATGACACACTTTTTTGAGCTAAATTTAAGCAACCCAACCAACAATGTTAGTGAGTTAAATAGGGTTAAACTCATGGATTATAATTCCTTGACATTAGAGGTTTGTATGGAACGGTTCATAATCGGTTTTAACAAAAACCGAACCGGTTTTAAACGATTTTATTTTCAAACCAAACCGGTTTTCTTTTTTTAAAACCGGTTTTTAATTTTCTAAACCGGTTTGAAACCGGTTCCAATATCGGTTTATGGTTTTAAACCGGTTTTAAATCAAAATTGGTTATGAACCATAAACCGGTTATCAAGTTAAAAATCAGTTTTTTAACAAATTCAAAATCGATTTTTGATGAATTGTGCTATTTTTATAAGTAGTCGTTTGTTTCTCCCGGTTATAGGTAGTTGACCAACTATTTTTTACAAGAATCTTCATTGTTTTGGAACTCTGCGGACGAAATGATTCTTATATAAATTGTTTCACGTTGTTTTGCGAGTGACTGGTAGAAGAACAGTTGAATTATTTTAAAATTTAAAAAAAAATTGCTCTTCGTTCTCTCAAGATTTATGTTACTAAGAGTTTCATTTGAACTAATGGAGGAAAGTACAGGTAGGAGTGTTTAAAATGTCTAAAAGAACTAAACCAATCCATACCCAAACTGCTCCACATTTTAAAAATCGGTTATTTTTAAAAATCGGTTTTATATGAAACTGTATTTTATTTTTATAAACTGGTTATTTACCAAATCATAAAGATAATTGGTTATCCATAACCAAACTAGTCTATAATTAAAGAACAAATAAGTAAATCCGTTCTGAGTTATCCTTTTAACGACGCTCTCAGA